TAAAAAAAAAAAAAAAAAAAAAAAAAAAAAAAAAAAAAAACTGCAAAACAATCTCTTGCTCCCAGTCTAAACAAATTATAACTTTATAGTTAAAATGATTGAAAGTGGATAGTGGCAGTTTGCAGCAATGAAATGTAGTTGTATTCATCCTCAGTATTAACGGATTTAACGTATTTACCGGTAGTTTCCGACATAACAAGCAGCAAAACGCCTCAGTTCGACACCAGACAGTAAAAAATCTCGGACAATAGAGGACGTGCGAAGTGAGATCAATAAATAAATCATGGTGAGTAAAATACAACCAGCTTCTTTTTGTCAGACGTCAGGGAAAGTATGCGTCCCAGCTCCTCCTGGTAAGAAAGGGAGCCGAGGTCCCCGAGGAAGACGAGGAGCGCAAGGACAGAAGAGAAAGAGAAGTGAGCCAGGTATAATGGGCTTACCTGAAAGAAAAGGCAAGCAAGGCATCAGGGGAGATTAAGGACTGGGAGGAGAAAAAAGGTGAAAAAGGTAAGTGAGCCCATTTTTCTATCAATTAACATTATTTTTGTTTCGCGTTCATAAAAAGGAGAAAAAAAGCAATTAAGTTTCGGTTTATCGATTTTTTGTTTTTTGTTTCGTCTTCCAAATTTTCAACTTACAGGCGCGTCTGGCCCCCGTGGAATGACAGGACAGAAAGGAGAACCAGGGGAAAGCGCCTCCTTGCCAGAAGTGACCATATCACCTGAGACTAAAACAGTAACTGACAACCAGACTGCTAGATTCTATTGCTCGACCAGAGGACACCCAACACCTGTCGTGACCTGGAGCAAATTCAGAGGCTTACTTGCTGGCGAACGAGTCAAAACCAACCCAAATGGCCGCCTCGAAGTTACAAAGTCGAATTTCAATGACTCTGGGGAGTACATGTGTTCAGCAGTCACTGTTCTGGGTAAGGACACCAAGACTGCAAAGCTTTTTGTTGAAGGTGAGGCCCCGCTTTAAATTAATTCGGTAATCAACTCATGATAAGAAGGAAAGGGATTGAAAAGACTCGCAATTTGGCTTATTTACCTCAGCCTGATTGAGATAGTGACAATCCTTATGTTTTCTTTCTTTTCTTTTCTTTTCTTATCCTTCTCTTTAA